CAAATATAGCACGACGTGTAGGATAGGTAGCATACTTTCTGGTGTGTCTGTGTATAATTATAAGTAGGCAGGGTCGGGCAGGTTGGCACAGTCTGTGGTCGCGTGTCCAACCTGTTTCAGGAAATGCAATTTGGAAAATCGACAGCGAAATTGGTACAAGTTGAGCATGCCACTTGTTTCTGGTTTTACTCGTCGATTTTTCGAATTTATTACCGCGGTCGCGGTCGCGGATAGGTCGCGAGTAGGTCCCGAAACGAACGTTTATGTAGGTGTTGCTCGAGCACACACACATGCGGACGGACAACGATCACTGTGATCGATGGTCGTCCATGTGTATTGGGGTCAACTATCGCGGTTTATCTTTTCATTTCACCTTTATAAGTTATTTCTTTGGTTTGCGATTAGAAAGACTCGAGCCTAGATTTAAGTTTCAGCCTGGCAGAAGAAACTGCCGAAGAAAGAAGAGGCCCGGCTAATTGCCATAGAAGAGGGCAGCAACTAATGGCTTCTCATCCTCTGGATGGGAAATCTGTCCAGAGCATGGGAAGTCATTCTTGTTACTACTTTGTCACTATGCTTGTTGTTAGTATTTGTAGTATGTAGTTATTTTTTTTTTTTCTTTTTCTTGACCGGCATATGTGTCGGTTCATCATCACATTGGGCAAATCTCGGTTTTTTATTAGAGTTGCGAATGATTAATATCGGTTTGAATTAGAGTTACGAAATGGTCCAAATTTCGCGTTTTCATGTAGAATGACGAACGAGTAAGGTTCGGTTTGAATTAGAGTCGCGATAAAATAATAATCGTGTTTGGATTAGTATGATACATTGCGATTCGTTAACCCTTTTTTTTTGTCACGAACTGGTGCAACTTATTAAAATTAGAATTTGTCTCGTTTTGTATTATTCAAAGTTGAATTAAAGAGATGTCAATTTTCTAGCATTGTGAATTACGACTATCGCGAGTAGTTAAGGTAGTTTTTATTCACAGAAGTAATTTTTATTGAGTTTACTATAAAGATTAGTGTTGCAATCAATGAGTATCGCGAATAGTTGAAGTAACTTTTTATTTATATAGGAGTTATAATTTTCATTGAATTTACTTTAAAAAAAATTTAGTTTCGCGATATTATTCCATCGTGGCTGTTTTGAGTACTTTTATAGTTAGCGTTGCGTTGACGAATGATCGTGTTTGTTTGAATAGTGTTGCGTTTGTCAAATGCCCAAATTTCTTCCACTGGAGTTGTGGAAGCCTGTTCCTGGATCACCTAATGCAAACAGTTGCAAAAAGGTGGTTGTGCATCGGCAGTTTCCAATATGACTGCACTGGAATTATTATATATTTGTTATTTAATATGAGTGTATAGTTTAATATTTATTAGTGTTGCGTTTAAAAATCTAAATCACGTGGTGTGTGATTCCGGGAATTTTGTATTATTCTTTCTTTTCTTTTTCCTTGTTTTCAATAATAAATTGATTACTATTGCATATACGAAGCACTCGTTACGGCCATTTTAGAGTTGAATTTTGTATAGTTGCCAAATGGAAAGAATATTCCACTCTTTGTTAATTTTTTAGTAACTTAGTGTGTTGCGAAATAGAAAGACTCTTCTACTCTACATTCGGGTTTGCTGTTTCAGTTTATATTTTGGTGGCCCTTCTCGTTACTAAACTCTTTTTTTTTCAGCATCCTTTATTACCATAGCGTTTGTTACTGAAAATACTGTCAAAGGTATATAATATTTGTTTGCTAGAAGACAATATTTTTTACACCTTTTTATTCGTTACAGTACAATTTAAAACCATACTCGTTTTTAAATAATTTTGTTAAATAAAACGATGTAAAAATAATTTAAAAACAAATCATATAATTTCAGTCGGTTTTTCTTTCATCTTAATATTTGCAATATACGTATATTTCCACATTCAAGTTTAAGTTCAAATTCAAATTGTATTATCAACAATTCCTGCTTTCAATGTAGTAATTGAAATTTAGTAATGGAATATAATTGTAAAAATATATATTTTTAACTACAATTTTTTTTTATACTTTATATATACTCATTAAATAAGTTTTTTTGTACTATCCGTTAAATAAGTTTGTTACAACTTCATTAAGTTTAAGAGGGAAGTTACATCTCAAAGTTGAAGTCTCAAGAGTCCAATGAGAAAATGGATAGAGGAAAAGAAAGAATGATTACGCCACAAAAAATATTTGAGTCTCATCAAATTTGATCTAATCTCTTAATTTGAGTTTGCTTTAGGAATCACTGGAATCAACGAAAGTAGTCATAGAATATCCCTTTCTATACTCTTAGTTATCCAAGAATCCTTTTATTAAATCCTTAGATTTACAGTTCATTTAGATTTAGTCAACATATTTTTAGTTATACTAAAGTAGTGGAAGTTGAGTGTTTTCAAGTTAAATTAGATTTATGATTAGGTAGTAGTGTGTGCTTGTTGGTGTGTGTATGGATATTTAATTATAGTTTCTCATTAATAAGTTCTTGCTTGATATAATTGCTTATTAAGTCACTTAATGTAGTTGCTGTAGTAATAAAAAGAAGCTCGTATTTAGATAAATTTAATAAATATAATTCTCCATGAGACATGATTTAATTTTGTTTTTCTATTTTATACTATTTTCAGCAATGAAAATGGAATATGAGTTGTAACAGACAGAGTCGTCTCACGTAGAGTTATGTCATTTGCTTAAGATTTAATTTTTTTTTTTT